GGCCAGATTCAAGCTAGACGAGCACCAAGTAATAGCTCAGTGAATCATCTCACACTGAGAGTGATTTCCTGCCTGCAGATAATCAGTTTCTTCACCCCCCAGGTCTTCTAAGGGAAACAAATTTAACAAAAGCATTCTTTTTCTTAACGAGTTTTTGCATTTTTGACATATTACAAACTTCCATGGTTAAAAAATTAAAACAAGAGGGGGGGGAGGGAAATAAATTCCCGCATGCTTACCGGCAACAAATTAACATCATAATCCTTGTGTGACAACTGTCTGTCAAAAATCGATGAAAACAATGGCAGCGTAAAGTAGGAGGTGGAGGAGGAGGAGGAGGAGGAGGAGGAGGAGGAGCGGGAGGGGATGGGGGCATGGCGAGGAGGAGAGAGGGAGGAGGAGGAGGAGGGGATGGGGCCATGACGAGGAGGAGAGGAAGGAGGAGGAGGAAGAGAGAAGCCAGAAAATAACAACAGTATGAACAAGAAACCTTATGGAACCTCCTGGAACCTTCTGGAACCTACTGGAACCTTCTGGAACCTTCTGGAACCTTCCTGAACCTTCTGGATCCCTTTGGAACGTCCAGGGACCTTCTGGAACCTTCTGGAACCCTCTCGTCGTAACCTTCTGGAACCTTCTGGCACCTTCTGGCACTTTCTAGGAACCTTTTGGAACCCTCCAGAACCTTCTGGAACCCTCCGGAACCTTCTGGAACCCTCCGGAACCTTCTGGAACCTTCTGGAGCCCTTTGGAACCTCCAGTGACCTTCTGGAACCTTCTGGAACCCTCTCGACGTAACCTTCTGGAACCTTCCGGCACCTTCTCACACCTTCTGGGACCCATTGGAGCCCTCTGGAACCTTCTAGAACCTTCTGAAACCTTCTGGGACCCTTTGGAACCTCTCTGGAACTTTCTGGGAGCTTCTGGGACCTTTTGGAACCCTCTGGAACCTTGTGGAACCTTGCGGAACCTTGTGGAACCTTCTGGATCTCTGAGATTTGTGCAGAAGAAGGAAAACAAGAAAATGGGCATAAGAAAAGAGGCATCTACTACCTCTACTCTTCTCCCTCTGATGACTCTGCAAGAGCTGGCCAACTGCGATGCTCCAGAAGGGTGGTAGAACCGCGTCACAATTGTGACCATGTTCATGCGAACACAACTGTAAACATGGTACCAGATACACACGTCTTGCCTTGCCTAGCCGGAGCATAAATATTTTTCACTTAGCACAGACCTAGCTCCACCATTGAGCCTTTTCTAAATATAAGCTGCCATAAGGTACGCGGTCGTAATTGTGACTAGGTTCATGCCAACTTGGCACAAACACAGCACCATGAAGAACCAGGCCACAGTTGTGACCATGTTCACTCAAACTTGGCACGAACACACCACCAGTTACGCATCTGGCAAACCTGTTTTTCTAGAGTCCTGAGAGTCTAAATCCATCCCAGTTCTTTCTAGAGCCTTTCCCAAAGAGTTTTCTGGAGTTCTAGTATCTCCGGGTCATTAAAAAAAAAAAAAAGAAAAAAAAAGAAAAAAAAAAAAGGCAGTGGCTGCTGCACACAGCTATCCGGCTCCAGAAATTCTGATCAAGATCTGATGAACAGAGAGCTGAGTTAGGCTGCTAAATACATCCTCAGCTTCTCAGGAGAAAAAAAACAGAACAAAACGAAACGCTATAAAAAAACCTGGCCTCTACAACAACCTGGGATTTATATTTAAAAAGAAAAAAGGGAAAGAGATCCCAAAAATTGAAAAAAAATAATAAAAAAAATAAAAAAAACCTGTGAGAAAATGTATTGCAACAAGTTTGGCTATTATGCAGTGTGCAAGTGTGGGGTGGGCAGTTTTCAACCCCGCAACCTCGGAGCACGCGGACAAACAAAGAGCGGTCACGATCTTTTCACAAAAATGGATAGATCCGAACCACAAAATGGCTGAGGTGCAAAGTGACGGTAAGTTAACATGGAAAAATTGGGCGGCAGAGGACCATCGTTGGAAATACAGACCAACTAAGTGCTTTCCTACACCTCTCCGCGGGCACGCAAAACGAGCACTAGATGGCATGCCTGTGAGCAACGGGGAGCAGGACCCACCCCACGACGTCGGGGCCCGCCACTCGCCTCCAACATCTTCACAGTCCCCCCCTCTCCCGTCCAAGTCCCCTCCTACCGCCCGCCCCCCTCCCTTCCGTCTGACTCCCCCCCC